TGATTTTAAAGAGGGAATATCTATTTTTGGAAGCACTCGCTGAAGTCTGTTATTTTTCTCTGAGATTCAATTCAAGGTATTTTTCTAGTTATTCAGCTGTTTTTACCTCTTTTATGGCACTCTGTGGAATTCTCAGGGAGTGGAATGCAAACTTGGTGTCTAAAAGAACCATTTGGAAATAAAAAGGAAAGATCATTTTTATTGTTCTGTAAAAGTGACTCTTGTGTGTTTGCCTGAAGTCTCAGCTCTAAAATGGTATGGCCCAACATATATGCATACAGCTTGCCACAAGGCTTGCATATTTGTTTTTCTTTCAGTCCAGTTTTATTAAATTGGCTTTTTCCTTCCCTTTTATTTTTCTTTTAAATCAGTTCTTGTGCTAATTGATCAAACTTGGTGTCTATATAGTGATACCACCTGAACTTAAAAAAATATGAAGGAATCTTTTGCCAGGGGAGGAGGAGTGTAGTATAATCTCCCCCTGCAACTGCAAAGAACTGCACCACACCAGTAACTTTCCTGTTTTAAGAGTTGCTAAGTTACCAGAATCTAAAGATTCAGATTCCTACCTTTAGATCATCCTCCCCACACCCACCCACCCACACATTGTCTGAGGCCCTAGGTAGTCTGGCAGTAAAGATGTAGTAATTTTTAACTATTGTTTTAAAAAAATCATACCTAGGAACTACAATGTAATGGGTCTTTGAAAGAAGCAAGTGGGTTAATTCCACTGGACAAAACCTTGTCCAGCTGAATTCTAGATTACATAAAAAGCTACATTTTTACACACAGGTAGAATATGATTAAGTGAACTCTGTTTTCTATTGTCATAGTGCCTATTAGGACCATCGGGTGTTAGGTGCTGCACAGACATGGAACAAAAAGTCTACTTCAAGAAGTTTACAGTCAAAGTATGGTCATGCAATAACAGATGGATATTAATATACAGATGGGAGAATACAATGAGACAATTTTGGTCAGCATGAGAAGCTGCTGGGTCTTAGCACACCAGCAGCCTAATGATTGCCAAGTTTATGTTTACAGTGGAAACCACCAGCAGCCTAATGATTGCCAAGTTTGTTTACAGTAGAAATGAAGATTTAGGATCTAAAGATCCCTTTATTTTTCCTACTTTAATCTCCTCCTGAAATTAAGTCGCACTATGAGTATTTTATCTGACGATGACTTACTGTAGAGTAGGAATGAAAGCTTGTAGTTGAGTACGTGATTAACCGATAAGCCTGGGCTTCTCAGTTAATATTATTGACTACATGCACTCCCCCGCCCTCTTTCTCCCCCCCTCCCCGGCGCTGTCTGTGTATGGGAGGCAGCATGGGGTGAGGGGACTGGGAGCCGGTGCTGGGGGCTCCCAATGAGCACCGGATCCACAGAGCCACCTCCCCCTGCCACTCCACCATCCCTGACTGCCACGCCACTGTCTTACTAAATTTAAAATGCAGAGGCGCAGCAGGGTAGGTCATGCTGGGTCTGGGACCTACCCCTGTTGTGGCTCTGCAGTTTAAATGTAGTATGTTTTAAACTCCTACTACGTATAAATTACAGAGCCTCAGCAGGGCTCCTTATCGACTAATCATGTACTCGATACAAATTGTATTGAGTACACAATCAGTCAATTACCTGCTTCTTAACAATCTTAGTTCATCATATTTTAATATGTCAATTGGAGTATAAATGTTGTCGTTACATTTCAATTTAAAGTATACAGAATGGTATAAAGAAGTCAGCGTATAAAATTTTAGTTTGTACTGACTACCCTAGTGCATTTTATGTAACCTGCTGTAAAACTAGGCAAAGCTCAGCCCCTTCCCCTTCCTGGACAGGAGCTGCTTCCACCCCGCACTGTTGCCTCTGCAGAGGCAACAGCGCGGGGTGACAGGCAGCTGGTCTGTGACGGGAGCTGGTTTTTAAACTGGCTCCCCTCACGGACCAGCTCCCGCCTGGCACCCCACACTGCTGCCTCTTATACATAGGCAGCAGCACAGAGTGACAGAGGGCTCCTTGGGAGTGGGTTTGGAGCACATTGGCTTCCGGCCCCACCCCCAGGACTATAGAATTGTCAGATAACCAATAAGAATTCATGAGGTTAATCGACTTTTCAATTAACCGATATTTAACATCCCTAGTGACTAGACTACAATATCTTTTGTCCCTGCCTCTGTTTGTCAGAGGGTGGAGATGGATGGCAGAGAGATGGCTTGATCATTGTCTGTTTGGTTTGCTCCCTCTGGGGCATCTGGCATCAGTCACTATCAGCAGTCCGGATACTGGGCTGGATGGACCTTTGGTCTGACCGTGTCTGGCCATTCTTATGTTATGTTCTTTCACAGAGTAACGTTCTGTAAGTGGTTTTGAAACCCTCAATTTTGTTTATGTTTAAGAGAATATGTGAGACTACATAAAATATGCCTATAGAACACTGGTTATCTATCACTTTCTTTGTAGTTGTGATTTTTTTCTTTTAACTGCATGTAAGACAGGTGAGCAATATTAGTAGTTGGTGTGTTTTGAGACTTTCATAACAAAGTATGAGCAGCATGACAACAGTAGTAGCTTTAATATAACTTAATTGATGTTATGAAGTTATTAATTTGCGCGTCTAAGGTTCTCCATATGGTGACACTCCATCTAAGGACAGAGTAACATTTTTTCTTCTAAACTTTTTGTCTGTTGAACAACTGCATTCTGTTTGGACTGTACATAAAATACGCACAAACAAATGTTTTACTTATGTGCGTAACTTGACACCGATAAGTTAAGGGTATGCTAAAGTGTTTCTGGGGTGGGGACCAAAATTGGAATACTTGTACTTCCTAAATACGGTAAAACCTGTGTTATCTGGCATGTTCAGGGCCTTCTGGTTATCTTTAAAAGACATAGACACACACACATGGAATTATACCGATCTCATAGAACTAGAAGGGACCTTGAGAGGTCATCAAGTCCAGTCCCCTGCCCTCAGAGCAGGACCAAGGACCCTGACAAATTTGCCCCAGATCCCTAAATGTCTCCCTCAAGGATTGAGCTCTCAACCCTGGGTTTAGCAGGCCAATGCTCAAACCACTGAGCTATCCTTCTTCCTTAAAAACTCTGGTTATCTGAGAGTCCCATCAACCTAGGAAAAACCAATGGACAGTAATAGTAAAGTTCAAGTTTTTAATATTGGTAGTTTTGTAGTGTGAGGCAATTCGTCTCATATTTCTATTTTGAGTTAGATTTGTGAGGCAATTGGTCTCATATTTCTATTTTGAGTTAAAGATTATTAGTAATACTTAAATAAAATATTGTTAAACCAGACATGGTAAACCAAGCCAGGCTTGTGCGCCTGAAGATGTGACAGTATTGTGGCTGGAGGTAATGCCGGTTAACAAAGTTTTCTGGTTAACAGAGTGCCCAATAACAAAGGTTTCACTAAAGTGTTCGATGTGACAGTATTGTGGCTGGGGGTAATGCCGGTTAACAGAGTACCCCATAACAAAGGTTTCACTAAAGTGTTTCATCTTTCTAACTGCCACCTGGTCTGTTTTGCCTGACTTGTCTCTTTTGAACTGTAAGATTGTTGGGGTGCGTGCAGGGACTTGTTTTCCATATATTTGTATAATGCCTGACACAATTGGCACTGCCCCGCCCCCAACTTCCTTAGAAGATACTGCAATATAAATGTTTAAGAATGTAGAATAATTACATCTGTTGCACATAATTTGCTCAAAAAGCTATCAGCTTTAGAGTTTCTCATTTTTAATGTGCTTTCCTAATTGGAGTGAGTTGTAAACAAAAATAAATTGCCAATGAACTCTGTAATCCTGCGGTTGTCAAACGGGATTGCAATCCCCTTTGAATAGGGTCGCTAGTGCTGGTGTGGACTTGCTGGAGGCCTGGGCTAAAGACCCCCTGTCCAGGGTTTCAGCCTTGGCGGGGGGAGGGGAGGACTGAAGTTGCAGACCCCCTCTGCCCCACCCTCTGCCTAGGACTGAGTTTTAGCTTTGGCCTCCATGCCTAGAGTGGTGAGGTTCAGGCTTTGTGGGATTCCAGGCTTTGGTTTCCCCTCTTGAGGTCATGCGAGGCAGTGATGTTTGAGAACTCCTGGTGTAGTCAGTTGCTTCACCATGCTTTAGTTGGTTATGGAATATATTCAAGAAGCAAAATAACCCGTGTCAATCCATGTGATTGCTTTAAACGTATAATAATGTAGCATGGGGAAAAAGTTCTTTGAGGTTCACAAATTTGTGTGTTGGTGACCCCTTTCACCTAGGAAGCCCCTCTTACAAATTACAGACACATGTTTTTATATTGAGTGCTATTCTAAATGCTGGAGAATAGAGCAGGGTTTGGTGCTGGAGGCTGACAGCTCACAAACCCCAGTTTGGGAACCCCTGTTCTGTATGACACCAGTCTCCCAGAAACTCTCTCATGCAGCAACATTATATTCACTTCATACAGAGGATGTGTTCCCAAAGTTACGTATTTCAGGTGTTGTTTGACAAAATGTTTACAGATTACAATTCTCTTTATCTGTCACTAAATTTCAACCCATTAGTTCATCCCAGTTCCCTAACTAGTTGTTCTATTCCTTCTTTATCTTTGTTTAGAATCCTAGCATTCCAGATACTGCTCCATGCAGGTACTTCCTTAGCTTGTACATAAGAAACTTGTCAAAATCCAGATGAATTACTTCTGTCTCCTTATGCAGTTACTTACTTGAGGAAATGAAAGGTGTTATGGGATCCTTAGCGATCAAGAGAACAGGATTATGGTATAGACCAGTTTAGGCTGTATCTCTCTTAAAATATTTGTGCTTAGTAGTGTTAGTGCATTCTTATATTCCCGGAGCAGTATATTTATGTATATGATAGCCAGAATATACTGGTCAATAGTTGTGACCTGGAAAAATGTTTTTGCTATATCACTTACCTGGCATATGTTTATTATTGTTCTCCATCATTGTAGAGATAGAGTAAACTGTTCCCAATTTCCTCATGCAGGTCTGGTGAGCAATGTTATCTTCACAAGCCATACTACAGAGCAGAGACACCCACTCCTTGTACAGCTTCAGAGCCTCATACGAGCAGCAAACCCTGCTGTTTCATTTATCTTGGCAGAGAATGGACTTGTAACTAGGTAATACTAGTTGAAGTTTTCATTTTTTTGTCATTTTCAGGGTTTATATTAATATTTGTTCAGTTAGAGCCCAGTTGTGAAACCTTTGCGCGCATTGGATAGCATGGATAAGTAAACGCACTCAACTTAAATGGAACCAAACTCAATGAGTAAATCCTACACAATTTCAGTAAAAGTTGAATTGAGGAGCCTATTAAGTTCTTTTAAGGGCTTTTTTGCTACTACATACTGTATTTAGTAGATTGACTTGTATCCTTGTTGTGTATAGAAAACAAGTTGAGTAGAGAACTCTTTTTTTTTTTATAATTAGTAAACATATAATTATTATACCGCAATCGGACTAACACATCCTAACCTATGTAAGAAGCTTACAAATAGTGACCATTTATATGTTCTGTATATTAAAAATATCAATCTTTATCTTTTTAATAGGAATGAGGATATGGAGCTAATACTCTCTGAAAGCAGTTTTTCAAATCCTCAGATGATGAGAGCTCGTTATTTAATGTATCCTGGCTGGCAAGTATCTTTATTGAGAAATAATAAAAAGCAATTTTTAATTAACATGAAGATTTTACAAGTCCCACAACGTATGTTTTCAGGACAGTTCATACATGTAGCCCAATCACTTTGTAAATGTCTTTTTTAAGAGACAGTAGTTTTTGTAGCCAATCACTTTGTAAATGTCTTTTTTAAGAGACAGAGTAGTTTTTACTACTACAGAGTAGCCAACTAATGCCATCTTCTGCCTACCTGGTATCTTCATCTGTTACTATTTAAATGGGTGGCAAAATTGCTGTTGGTTTCAGTGTGAGCAAGAGTTAGCCCTTGAGAATAAAATGAATAGGCCTGACAGCCGTTCTGTCTAAATGAAATGATCTAGTGGTACCATTGCAGTTCCTAGCAATCAGCTATACACAATGAAGTATCGGCATTCTTTGTTGGTAATCTCGGCAGAAGCCAAGGACAGAAAATAAATGAAAACAAAACTCCCTTCTAACAGCTAATGGTATTTTCTACAGTTCAGGGTTGCAACAAATTGCTGAGGGTGGCATGTTGTGGCTGCTGTCTGTGTTGTATGAGTGGGACACATAGAGGGCTCTGTTCTCCAGAACTGCCAACCTGGCACTAGTCCCATATCCTGATGGATGGTTGTTCTAGTTACATTTGGAGCATTAGAGGCGTACTGTGCAGCATTTCAACCACCATATTGTTCTAGTTACATTTGGAGCATTAGAGGCATACTTTGCAGCGTTTCAACCACCATACGCTGTCAATCCGGAACAGCTTCTATATCTGTTTCTTGTTCAGAATTAATTACACCTTGACTCTAAATAAGTTGTGTCAAGGTAAAGCTTCCTGTAGATCACGTGTCACTCCAAAGGGGAAAGAATTGGCTTGGAGAAAAAACTGTTGCAAACCTCTTGACACTGGGGGGTGGTGGGTGAGTAAGTGTTAACAGCAGGAACTTTCATTGGAGTGATTCCTGATATCATTCATGATACAAAATTATCTACGTAATTCTTACCTTGTTTACAGTTTGCATTTCTCTTCTTACGTGCAATTAATTCTGTATTTCTCTTAAAAGCTCTTCAGTTGTTAAAATAACAAATATTCTTCATTTGTAGAAGCCTGATAGATAAAAAGCATATTGATTACTCACATGAAGTCTGGCCAAAAATATTTTTGATTTTGTTTCATCAAAGCTGATATTCCATTTTACCTTGTGGTTTTTTGTTTTGTGTTTTTCTTTTTAAGGTTTGATGGTAAGTTTGGAGCTGGCTCTGTCTTCCCACCAATGGTTCAGATCTGTGTGTGGTTTAGCCGTCCTCTGGAAAAAACACGGTTTGTGACCAAATGTAAAGGTAAAAATGGATTTTGATTACTTACTTTAAGGTTTAAAATATTATGGGTGTTTAGTTAGTGTAGAGAACCCCTCTGGTATGCTAATCATGAATAATGTGAATTTGTATCTAGAATGTAATTACTCCTTTTTTAAAGTGCTTCATATGCTTTATATATTGACTGCTTTTGCCTCTTTGGGGAACTTAAGAGACTTGTAATATTGTTTAAATAAGTGTAAGCTTTTTATATTAAATCTAACATTTTAATGCACAGACAAGAGTAATGTCAATACTTCAATTTATAAAAAAGTTTTAAACACTTCTCTGTTTTACGTTTTTAAAGGATCGCTACCTTATAACTTCGTATATGAACGGTTCTTTACGATGATTATGTAATGAGACCATTGGTAGAGTTACTGTGCTTTTGAAAGTGAAGTAATGTCTTTCCTGCTGCCATTGAAAAACAATTTTAAAGAGAACCTACTTTCTGCCCATACTGAGTAAAGGGTTAGTTATGTGGGAGGGATACATTTTTTATTATAATATCATTAGAGCATATAGTTTTATAGGGAAGAGAGGTTACAAATAGAATCGGTTTCCAGGGATAGCGGATAGCAAACAGCATGAAGTTATGTAGAGATCTGTACTCTAACCTTCCACTGCTAGCCAAAGTGAACTATGCTGAATGAGCTGCACCAGGGAAGAGAAAAATAAGTAGAATAACTTGTTTTTATTTTTATTTCACACAGCAATTAAGTCATCAATTAAGCCAAGTCCATTTTCTGGAAACATCTACCACATTTTGGGCAAAGTTAAGTTTTCAGGTAACCAGAGAGTACTATTTATGCATTGTCTTGAGATTACACTTACTTTGTTTACCTACTCCCGAATACTAACATAAATAATCGATAATGGTGTATGGTTTTAAAGGAACCATACGCATCTATGAACATATTCTACTTGTTAAGATAATTGAGATAAAGGCAGCTGTATCTGCCCTGCGTTTAAAGAAAACATCTTCTCTTTTTGATAGATTCTGAGAAGATGATAGAAGTCTCTCATAATACACCAGCAAATTCATTAAGTCTTGTGCCTGTTCAGGGGGGGCCTACCCCTCCTGATTCAAGAAATGATAACCGAGATCGCAGTGGTCAACAGGAGTGCTTCCTTGTCTTCATTGGCTGCTCTCTTAAGGAAGAGGATATAAAAGATTGGCTCAGACAAACTGCAAAGCAGGTTTGTGGAGTTTTTTCAGCTGTTGGGATTTTTTCCCCCCATGTTGCTTGGTTTAACAATCCAAAGATAATTTAAGTATTTTAATATTCTTGCTGTCCTAGCAGCCTGGAAACTGGTTAACGACGTTCGGCATGACGTGCCCAGGACTCCCCTCCATTTGCAATGATCTTTTCAATAAGATGATTGAAAAGGCTCACGGTTGCCACCTGTATATCAAATCTTTTTTGAAACACCTATCACAGCATGTACATAGTGAGAGCTCTTAGCTGCAGAACACTCCATAGCAAGCTGAGCATGGGTGTGTACCCAAATAAACTCAAGGAGACTTGGACTGAGACATGATTGTCCAGCGTGTGGGTAGGGTACATGGCAGTGTAAACTCGGACAGGCAGTTGAGTGAGTGGAACTTGCACTGAGGTGTAATTATAACTGGCGCAGCAGTGACCACTATGGTTAGCGTATAACTATTTCCTTTCCCTCCTAGTCTCAGTTGCTTGTAACTTAATATTTTGGGCTTACATTTTCCAGGCTTGGTCTATGCTCGATGGTGAAGATTTTTTTTTAAATGTTCTGAGAAAATATCATTCAGCTATATTTCAACACGAGACTTTTTTGCACAAACAGTTGTGTAAAGAAAGCTGAAATATAGTATGGAAATAACCTGTATTCAAATGAAAACTGATTCTGGTTTGCCAAATTGTACTTGAAAATCATACGTTCACTTTGGCAGACTTTTTGTGAATGTGTGTATGAGTGTGGCTAACATGGCCATTGTAAAGGGTTGGGGGCATGCACTTTGTAAGATGGACAAGAGTGATTTGTCTCTGAGGTAACATAGTGGCTTCAATCAGTGCTCCTGTAGGCTAAGATATTTTGGCCTTGGAAAAGGTTCAGAAAAGGGCAACTAAAATGATCAGGGGTTTAGAACAGGTCCCATATGAGGAAAGGTTAAAGCGACTGGGACTTTTCAGTTTGGAAAAGAGGAGACGGAGGGGGGATGTGATAGAGGTATATAAAATCATGAGTGGTGTGGAGAGGGTGAATAAAGAAAAGTTCTTCATTAGTTCCCATAATATAAGGACTAGAGGACACCAAATGAAATTAATGGGTAGCAGGTTTAAAACTAATAAGCTAAAGTTCTTCACACAGCGCATAGTCACCCTGTGGAACTCCTTGCCAGAGGAGGCTGTGAAGGCTAGAACTATAACAGAGTTTAAAGAGAAGCTAGATAATTTCATGGAGGTTAGGTCCATAAAAGGCTATTAGCAAGGGGGTAGGAATGGTGTCCCTGGCCATTGTTTGTCAGAGGCTGGAGACAGATGGCAGGAGACAAATCGCTTGATCATTGTCTTCGGTCCACCCCCTCCGGGGCACCTGGCATTGGCCACTGTCGGCAGACAGGCTACTGGGCTTGATGGACCTTTGTGTCTGACCCAGTACAGCCATTCTTATGTTGTATTCAGATGCTATAACCCGTCTGAGCTCCTGAGGAGAATGGGACAAGATGTTATGTGGCTTTCTAGTCATATAGTTACAGCATTTTTTTGGCAAGTCAGTAGAAAGTCAAAGTACGGGAGTGCCGATTTCTTTGCGTTCTTTTCTTTAAAAACACTCCATTCAAAAAACTGTTTAACGTTGAGTTTCTGCAATTCATCACTTGAGCCAGGAACTATTAGTGTTATACAGCCTCTTTCCGACTTACGAACCGGTTACGGACCAAGCAATTGGTCATAACTCGGTTCGTTTGTAAGTCGGACCCCATTGAGTTACACGCGACCGCGCTGTTCATAAGCGCGGATCGCGTTCGTAACTCGGCATCCGCCATTTACGACAGATTTGGTCGTAACTGTGAACGGTCATAAGTCGATCATTCGCAACAAGGGGACCCGGCTGTAGTTGCACACACTGCATTAACTTTACCTTCTTGTCCATGCACATGTTGATACAGGCCTTAATTAGATGGTCGTGATTTCTCTCCTACAATAAATAACCGTTTTTTCGACAATTATGTATTCACTTGTGTTGCATGTTGGAATGCAGCATAAGCTGAGAAGTTGAGACTCCCCCAAAATCAGGGAAGTTATTAGCAAATCTGTTAGAACTGAAAAGGTTCCTACCCCCAGCCCTGCTCTCATGCCACACTGCACTTATTGTAGGTGTATTTTAAATTGAAAATGTACCTGCTGTTATGTATTCAGATATTATTTCTAAATCATGCAGCTTCTTACATGGCATTTGTCCATTCTGAAGACTAAGTCTGTCAAAAATTTGACATTTAAAAAAATAAATAATACAGTTGGATTGCCATGCTGCTTATGTCCGGGTTTTTTTGTTTTGTTTTGCTTTATTTTTACAATAGCGATTGAAATTGTCTAGTTAAAACACCTTCAGAATTATTTGTTTTAACTAAAATACATTATAAAATATTTGTTAGTTTTTTTCATTTCTTTTTGTAAATATTGAATCTAAAATGTCTTAGCTAAACAATGCAATTCAATAATCATGTCCACTTATTTAGCATTCATGCACTTTTTAAAAAATACCTCTTATTAGGGGTAAGTACAATTATGTATTGTTACATATTGCTGCCTTTTTCCAATTTGGTAGTTGTACCTTTCAGTTGCTCTTTTTTTCCCTTGTACTTCAATTATACTATAGTGTGGTGTTGCCCTGAGCATTAATTGTATTACTGGTATCTGAATCTGTCTAGAAACCTCAGAGGAAAGCGTTGAAAACCAGAGGAATGCTAACTCAACAGGAGATCAAAAACATTCATGTAAGTACACGCTGTTGGCATCAAGGCTTTATTTTGACCCTCACTTCCAGAAGTTCCCATTTACATGATGGAACGCCGTAGTATAACTCGTGTTCTAAGTTTCTGACTTGATGAATGCAAAACTATTACTCCTGATGCTGTTAAGCTTCCAGATAAGTGGTGGGAGTGCTGTATAATGTCATTAGTTTTCCAGTAACCCAATTCTGTAATAGAGTTCTGGAAGTGGGAACATGGGGCTGTCGCATCATAGCAATAATCACATTTTCGTAATAGTGATGGATCTATTTCCATTAATTCTTGAAAGCTTATGATACCTACTGTTCATCTGTGCTCTCCTTTGCATGTGAGAGGCAAAAATAAACTCATGTAAAATGCTTCTGCTTTCTGTAGCTGCTGTGTTAGTCTACCCTTGCAGCGGCTACTGTTAGTTTGTTGGAAATGTAGTGAAGTCTAGGCAACAGGCTGCCTTAGGAAACCTGTCGTAACAGAACATCCAAAAGCAACCCTCAAACTACCTTTCATCTCTGTGATGCAGCCTGTTTCTTAGTTGTTAAGTAGTTAAGTCCTATTTTAATGTATTATTAAAGAGTTCTCTGTTGTGCATGCAATACAGGGCAATTCCAGAACATTATGCCACCATGACTCACTGACTCTTCTCCTCACCCAGATTTATTGTGTAAGGAAATAGTGTGCATGCCAGTGTTCTCCTGTATGGAATGAAGACTGATGCACAGAGTATTTATAGTTACATGTGCATTGAGTGTTCCCTCATTTCCTAGGCAATCAAAGAGCTACAGTCTGAGATGTTCAGATACTATAGGGACGAGATCAAAAACATTCATGTAAGTACACACTGTTGGCATCAAGGAGTGATGTAAGCACCTAGGCTTTTAGATCTACAGTCTCAATAAAGAATTAGAGGGTGATGTTGATTTGCATTAATTACATGGGCTTCTAGAAATTAGGTTCTGTCAAACTAACTTGTAATCTCAAACAAGATACCAAGTTTGGTTAGCTGATAACACTCATAATATTGACATAATATACTGAGATATCTGTAAAGCTTTGACAGATGTGACATCTTGATTAAAAAACCTACTGTGACCTAGAACTAACAATGCACATATTAAATGCATTAAAAGCTGACTAACTGATAGGTCTCAATGCAATTGTAAATAGGGAAAAGTCAACAAGGAGTGTGTTTCCAGGGAGGTGCCCGCAGAGATTAGTTCTTGGCTCTGTTTTATTAGTAACTTAGGAGAAAACATAGCAACACTGGTAAAGTTTTCAGATGGTACAGATTTGGGGGAATGATGAACAATGAAGAGGAGAGGTCTCTGTGTAAGAGCTATTGGGATTGTTTGATAAACCGGGCACAAGGACACAATGTGTATTTTAATATGATTAAACATGTATATCTAAGAACAAAGAATGCTGGCCATTCGTTGCATGATGGAGGAATCTATCCTGGGAAACAGTGGCTCTCAAACAGATGTAGGGGTCATGGGGAATCATCATCTGAACTCGCGCTCCCAATGTGATGCAGTGGCCAGAAACAGTGGCTCTCAAACAGATGTAGGGGTGATGGGGAATAATCATCTGAACTCACGCTCCCAATGTGATGCAGTGTCCAACAGGAACTGGCACATGAACTTGCAAGTCCCTTAGCAAAAATTTTTAATAAATCTCTAAACTCAGGGGTTTTACCATTTGACTGGAGAATTGCTAATATAGTTCCGATTTTTAAGAAAGGGAAAAAAAGCGACCCGGGTAACTATAGGCCTGTTAGTTTGACATCTTGTAATTTTTGGGTTCTTCACTCTTCTGTCCTGCTGTCCTAGCTGCTTTAACTTCACATTTTCATGGAGGAATATTTTGTTGCTTATTTGTCACAACCTTAAATCATATTTATATATACTTACTAATATTTATTTCATTGGATAATCCTTGGGGAAAAGACCTTTCTTGCCCCTAGCCCAAGCACTTCTAACAAATACTACTGATTCCATACACACACTGATGTACACAGTGTAACTAAGACTGTTCTCAGTAGTGACAGATGGCAGAACAAGGAGCAATGGTCTCAAGTTGTGGTGGGAGAGGGCCAGATTGGATATTAGGAAAAACTATTTTACTAGGAGGGTAGTGAAGCATTGGAATGGGTTACCTAGGGAAGTAGTGGAGTCTCCATCCCTAGAGGTGTTTAAGTCTCGGCTTGACAAAGCCCTGGCCGGGTTGATTTAGATGGGATTGGTCCTGCCTAGAGCGGAGGGCTGGACTTGACGACCTTCTGAGGTCTCTTCCAGTTCTGATTCTATGATAAGGGGATGGTTGGATGAAATAACATGATCTTGGTAACTAATTGACCATTCATTTCCAGTTGGAAATAGGTCAATGGAGGGATGATAGGAGTTGCTATAGGGAACTTTCTGGGTGTCTGGCTGGTGAGTCTTGCCCACATGCTCAGGGTTTAGCTGATCGCCATATTTGGGGTCAGGAAGGAATTTTCCTCCAGGGTAGATTGGCAGAGGCCCTGGAGGTTTTTCGCCTTCCTCTGTAGCATTGGGCACAGATCACAGCTGAAGGACTCTCTGCATGTTGGGGCCTTCAAAGTATTTGAAGGCTTCAATATCTGAGACATAGGTGAGAGGATTATTCTAAGAGGGGTGGGCGAGATTCTGTGGCCTGCACTGTGCAGGGGGTCAGACTAGATGATCATAATGGTCCTTTCTGACCTTAAAGTCTATGAGTCTATGAAAGCAGATGCCATCCTGGGATATATAAACAGGGGAATCTTGATTGGGAGCAAAGAGGGTTTTTTTTCTCAGTTGCAGGAAGGGTGTTTGCCATTGTGGTGTCCCCAGTAGGTAGGGTCCTACCAAATTCATGGTCCATTCTGGTCAATTTCATGGCTACAGGTTTTTTTAAAATTGGTCAGGCAGAAATGTGGATCCCTGGCTGCCCCAGCTGCAGGTGGAACACAACCCCCCAGCCTCAGGAGGAGCTGCTGCGGGGAAGAAGCCCCAAACTCAGTGCCCAGAGCTGGCCCAGAGATCCAGAGATGTCATTATTCCCCTTTATTCGGCTTTGGTGAGGCCACATCTGGAGTACTGTGTCCAGTTCTGGGCCCCCCACTACAAAAAGGATGCGGACGCATTGGAGAGGGTCCAGCGGAGGGCAACCAAAATGATTAGGGGTCTGGAGCATATGACCTACGAGGAGAGGCTGAGGGACTTGGGTCTGTTTAGTCTGCAGAAGCGAAGAGTGAGGGGGGACTTGATAGCAGCCTTCAACTTCCTGAAGGGAGGTTCCAAAGAGGATGGAGAGAGGCTGTTCTCAGTAGTGACAGATGGCAGAACAAGGAGCAATGGTCTCAAGTTGTGGTGGGAGAGGGCCAGATTGGATATTAGGAAAAACTATTTTACTAGGAGGGTAGTGAAGCATTGGAATGGGTTACCTAGGGAAGTAGTGGAGTCTCCATCCCTAGAGGTGTTTAAGTCTCGGCTTGACAAAGCCCTGGCCGGGTTGATTTAGATGGGATTGGTCCTGCCTAGAGCGGGGGGCTGGACTTGACGACCTTCTGAGGTCTCTTCCAGTTCTGATTCTATGATAAGGGGATGGTTGGATGAAATAACATGATCTTGGTAACTAATTGACCATTCATTTCCAGTTGGAAATAGGTCAATGGAGGGATGATAGGAGTTGCTATAGGGAACTTTCTGGGTGTCTGGCTGGTGAGTCTTGCCCACATGCTCAGGGTTTAGCTGATCGCCATATTTGGGGTCAGGAAGGAATTTTCCTCCAGGGTAGATTGGCAGAGGCCCTGGAGGTTTTTCACCTTCCTCTGTAGCATGGGGTACAGTTCACAGCTGGAGGATTCTCTGTATCTTGGGGCCTTCAAAGTATTTGAAGGCTTCAGTATCTGAGATATAGGTGAGAGGATTATTCTAAGAGGGGTGGTTGAGATTCTGTGGCCCGCACTGTGCAGGGGGTCAGACTAGATGATCATAATGGTCCCTTCTGACCTTAAAGTCTATGAGTCTATGAAAGCAGATGCCATCCTGGGATATATAAACAGGGGAATCTTGATTGGGAGCAAAGAGGGTTTTTTTTCTCAGTTGCAGGAAGGGTGTTTGCCATTGTGGTGTCCCCAGTAGGTAGGGTCCTACCAAATTCATGGTCCATTCTGGTCAATTTCATGGCTACAGGTTTTTTTAAAATTGGTCAGGCAGAAATGTGGATCCCTGGCTGCCCCAGCTGCAGGTGGAACACAACCCCCCAGCCTCAGGAGGAGCTGCTGCGGGGAAGAAGCCCCAAACTCAGTGCCCAGAGCTGGCCCAGAGCTGCTGCTGCCAGAAGTGAAAGTTGCCAGCTTATCAGAAGCTGCTGCAGAAGGAAGCCCCGAACTCCATGTCTAATGCTGGATCAGGAGTCATTGCGGAGCGGGGAGGGAAGGGAAGTCTGGAGCCCAGTTCCTGCAGTTCAGGCGTGTGTGTGTGTGCGTTCACCACCCTCATTTTTGTGCTGCCTCTGGAGGTATACTTGGGGTCGCCTGGGGAAGAGCAGCTGGGGTGCTGCCCGGTTGGTCCAGTAGCGCCGAAGAGCATTAGCTGCGCCCCCCAGCAGACCAGGGAAACCCGGACGGCGGGACGGGGGGTCCCGCGCCGCTGAGGCTTTGCCAGAGCAAAGCCTCAGAGGCGTGGCACCCCGCTGCTGCGGCTTTGCTCCCCGTGTCCCTGGTCTGCTGGGGACCGTCTCCAGCAGACTAGGGACACCGGGAGCAAAGCCTCTGAGGACGCCGGCAGCAGGACAGCTGCGGCGCGTCTGGGCTGTCCCGCTGCCGGAGCCCCTCCGCGGCTTTGATCCGCGTCTCCCTGGTCTGCAGACCAGGGAGACGCGGAGCAGCTTTTCTCGCCCCAGAGTACACGGGCGGCAGGACCACGAGGTCCTGCAGTCCGTGTCCTCCGAGGCGAGAAAAGCCCCGTTCGTAACTGCGGATCCGACATAAGTCGGATCTGCGTAAGTCGGGGACTGCCTGTATAAGGAAATTGCTAAAGATACTGCAATCGCATTACTTTGTAAACCAGTTCTGCAAATTGTCTATCTCCTTCAAAGAAAAGGTTAAGCACTTTTGTACTGGGTTTGTAAGTGTCCCGAAAGAGGCACCTATCTCTGCCCCTTCTGTTTGACTGCATAGACTTACACACACATAATTTAGACTGTCGGTAACTCTGAATGTCTAATGGTACAATGTTTGCCTTTAAATGCAGATGAAGCGCCACTTGGATCCACTTCCAGCGGGTTACTTTTACAATGGAACTCAGTTTGTGAATTTCTTTGGGGACAAGATGGATTACCATCCATGTATCCTTGAACATGTGTTTAAACTCATGGGTATTTTTGAAGAAAGGATCCTGCAGTTTTAGACCAACCTGACACATGGACTATGGGGGCAGATCATTATCCATAACAGAGCCAACTGACTAGCTGGTGATTGTGGGAAGTGGAAAGTTTTGGAGTTTAAATAAGTGTGAGACCATTTGCCTTACCAGGCTGTAACATTTAATAGAGCGCTCCCGCAGTCACAGTGTAAGAAGATGCATCGATCAAAGCAAGGGTCAGTACACAACATAAGATCATCTAGAAAATCAAGTGCAGTATAATACTGACATTTTCCAAAACCCTGTTAGCTAAAACGCTGCATTATCTGACTCCCTTCCTTGTCCCCATGGTCTGTTTTAGGGTACTCTCTGGTTACGGTGAAGACCACCATGCTGCTGTGTGTTTCAGATAATCAGGAGCCTACTATGCAAATAAATAGAATGCAAAGAATCCCTTATCTGCCATTCAGTAGAGAGTGGCGTGCGTGTGTGCATGCGGCTTCCAGAAACCAAAAAGAGCAGGATCTCTGACTACAAAAAGACCTCCTTTTTCTGTGCATGGTGAAGTCTTATTAATGTAAAAAGCCTTTCTGTCCTGATTGATGAGGAAAAACCTCAAACATACCCACTTAACACTATCTTCTGCTTGCGCACCAAATAAATCAGAAGCATGCGCAGGATTACCTTGCCGGATGACTTGTGAATTAAAAAATGGCTGCGCTTCATTTATTTACAAACTGTTGCTTGAGTTCCGTGCCCTTTACTTGCTATGAGCAACCGGCTATGGCAAGCATACATTGAACTCTGAAATTAGCTGTTTTTTCTTAGGTCAGCAGAATTTGTTCCTGGTCAGGACAAAGGAAAGTATACAAAGATGAAAAGGGCTTTAATGAGTTTCTTTCCTGAATCACACTGATTCCATTTACACCTGAATTAGTGCGCTGGATTTTGTCTTAATATTTGGCAATAAATCCAGAGTCAGATTAACAAGCATACATTGAACTCTGAAATTAGCTGTTTTTTCTTAGGTCAGCAGAATTTGTTCCTGGTCAGGACAAAGGAAAGTATACAAAGATGAAAAGGGCTTTAATGAGTTTCTTTCCTGAATCACACTGATTCCATTTACACCTGAATTAGTGCGCTGGATTTTGTCTTAATATTTGGCAATAAATCCAGAGTCAGATTAACAGAGCCCCTCCCCCCCCCCGCCTCCCTGTACAATTCCTCAAGTGTCCATCACAGTTTCTAATATTTTTGTTCTAAGATTCTCTCTAAGCCATTTATTTTTTTATTGTCGTGCCTAGGAGCCTAAACCATGGACCAGGATTTCATTGCGCCAGGTGCCAAATAAACACCAAACAAAAAATTGATGTCTCTGCCCCCAAAGAATTTACCTTGAGTCTGCTTTTGCGTTCTCAATTTAATGTTCAGCCTTTCAATCAGTTACTGTATTTTCTTAGGAAAGCTTCTGGTGTGCCCCCAAAGAATTTACCTTGAGTCTGCTTTTGCGTTCTCAATTTAATGTTCAGCCTTTCAATCAGTTACAGTCAGTGACTGATTGTATTTTCTTAGGAAAGCTTCTGGTAGAAACTTCAATTCATCTTTGAGCAAGAACAGCCACTTGTCCTTCCATAACCTATGTATTGAAGATTGCCTATCCTAGAACTGGAAGGGACCTTGAAAGGTCATAGAGTCGAGTCCAGTCCCCTGCCTTCACAGCAGGACCAAGTACCATCCCTGAATTTTTGCCCCAGATCCCTAAATGGCCTCCGCAAGGATTGAACTCACAACCCTGGGTTTAGCAGGCTAGTGCACACACCACTGAGCTATCCCTCCTCCTGTAACCTAAGTGACACTTAATTTAAATTCCTAAATCATCAGACCTCTCCTCTCCTCTTGGATAAACTCCCCAATCCTGGTCATTTGTCCTCTCCTCTCCTCTCCTCTCCTCTTGCATAAACTCCCCAATCCTGGTCATTTCGTAGAAAAATTAGGGGAAAACCAAAAAAGAGCAAGATCTGACTACAAAAATACTCCATATATGTTGTCCTTGGATCCTGAATATTAATATAGCTATTTCTGCTGTTGGGATTTTGGCTTTTTTCTCTTATTGAAACCTGCTAAATCAAATTCATGTAATTGTGGTATGTTACACCAACTGATAGATGAGATTATCCAAATAATTTAACATAGCATCAGCCACGCTTTCACAGCCATTAATACAGCGTAATGGGAATAATACCTTTTTCTCATTTACCAAACTGTCCCAGATTAAATCCAGTACCTTATAAAAATGACACAGACTTCCAAGGTCTAGATGCTACTGGAAGTAGTCAGGGCTACTTTTTTTTAGTAAATTGAAAAGTCAGATTGAATCAGTAGCTGGCGACTGGAATCTCATCTTTTTAAAGAATTCTCTCCACTAACATCATATTGAACCTTGGAATGATTTTAGGGAGGCAGAGACAGGTCATTATTATCATTATTGTCCCTTATCTAACCTGCTGGCATTTTAAACAGCCCTTATTATTTTTTCCTGTTGAGATTAAAAACATTACCACATAACTTGTCTCTTCCTGTGGAGGAAGAATGTTCGTTGTCAGTTCAGACTCCAAGATATGCTAATGCACTGCATTATTGCACAAGGAGAAACATTGTGCTCTTAATATGCAGATCTAACTAGTTCAGTTGCTCAGTTAGTCCATCCTGTTCTCAGTCTAATGCACACTTTTTATTTGGGTGAATGCTTTTCCTTAGTATTTCAACATCAGTAATGGACCAGTTCATGAATGACTACTTAGAAGAAGCTAACAGAGAAATTGAAAAATACAACAGAGAACTAGAAGAACAAGAATATCATGACCTCTTTGAGCAGAAGACATAAGCATGCATGTTTGTGGTATTCAGTGCATATAAACATTGTGGGTTTCTAAACTATCATCTGACTATCTGTAACTGAAAAATGCTGTCAGCCTTGCTGGTTAACAAGAAAATGAAAAGTAAATGTGTTAGTTTTCAGCAGTTTTAAAATGAGGCTTCATTCCTGTAAGGCTGGCATTTCAATCTGATAGCTACTTTAGTTGTTTGTGCAGTCTGGTTCACATCCACTTCAGAGAAATTCCAGATTGTAAAAAGCATCACCTAGAATTTATCTGACTAGCAGTGGAAATACTACATTAGAACTGTGTGTTCTAATAGCCCTGTGTATGAGCATGACACTGGTTTCTGATACAGATAATCAAAAGCGTGGAGCTCATTTCTCTGTATGGCCTGCACAGAATGTGCACAGGTGTCCATACATGAAAAAAGGGCCAACAGGTTTTGCACCATGACGTATTTCAGTATGAGTTTGAGCGTGTTCCTAAAGCGAGAAATGGGGGAACACTTGAAAAGCTCTGAAAAGAGCACCTGAGCTTGCTGCTGCTCTCCACAGCTCATTTTCTCATGCAACACTGTTAGTGTCATGCAGAATGCATTATAGGCAGAGTCGTATAAGCTATGCCCTGCCGTCCCTTGGGAGTAAAAGGGTTATCCTGTAAACTTTCCTGTAGCCCCAACATCTGAGTAAATCTGGCTATGAGCCAGGGATCTTTTGGCTCAAGAGATGAATTATTTGTCTACTCTAATTTGTTTCCAAAGGTAAAAGATAACTTAAAGTACTTTATCTGTCAAGCTTTCAGGAAAGTCCATGTGCCCATGCCTTCCACAGAACTAAACACTGAGTTGGATTGTTGCTTTTCTTGTTTGCTTTTTCAAACTGATGTCACAGGGAGAATTATGGCACCTTGTCCTGTAAATTAAACACGAACTATTTTGAATGTGACTACACAGAACACTGTCCAAGACGCTGCAGGCTACTGACTAACATCATTGTAAGGCTTCCTACCTTGAAAAACAGATTACTGTAACTCACTGTGTATTTGGAAATCAGTTTTGTGGAAACCAGCCATCGCTGAACATTTTAACTTGCATGCTCCTTTGCCTCAGGACCAGATAAGGACCATCTTTTAGTGTATCTACGACCTTTGCTGATCAGAAGTATTTGATGCAATAAGGATTTATTGAAGGAATAATTCTGTGTAGTACGCTTATAATAATGAAGCTTAATTGATGTGTTCAGACAAGAAAGCTACAATTAACTCCTGCAGTCTGGTGAAAGTCTACATAGAAATGTGGATGCCTTCTTTAGGGAATAAGTTCTTTACATTTGGAATAAAAAACGGCTAAAATTTGTTAGATTATGAACATGAAACAATTTAGATGAAATATTAGCATGTATCACTGCTAGCTTATCTCTATGAGCTGCCTCTGCTCTGATCATTAAAATATACAGATGTGATAGGAATGTTCAGACTTTGAATTCCAGCTGGGGCAGATCAGGATGTAAATGTTTGTAAGTCTGCTTCTTAGATAGTTTTCATACTAGACATTAAAAGCTTTCAGAATGTAGGCATTATATTTCACACCATAGGACTTGAATTAGATAGAAGTGGTTTCCTTATAAAGTACAGTAAAAGCCAGCAGTTAGTTCCAAGTTTTGTATACTTTCTGGGGCAAACCATAATACAGGTATAAAGCATCATCGTAAAGCTCGAGAAATATCTATGCATGGCCACACTTTAGTCTTTTAATATACTTAGTGCCTGGTAGGGTAAACGTAGCTAACAGTTGATTTTTTTGGGAATTGTCAGTGTTTAGAAACTAAGTAAAATTGGCTGTGGAAACTACATATTAAGCCAGGGTTGATTAAAAACACAAAATTCTGAAGGTAAATATTGCAACAAAGGGGGCATTTGGAAAATAAAATAATTCTTTGCCAATATAACTTAGCATAAACATTGTGTGCTCCTTTTTAGCATAAATTTGTCTAATCTGCAAAAGCCATATATCTAGAATAGCTGTATGACTATGTAATGTCAGATATCAAATACCAGGAGCTGAGACAGCAGGCACTTTGTTGACACTTTGTCTCAACTCGGAAATCCGTAACAGATTATGTTTTAAGTGCAATTGATAGATGATACTGTAGTTTACACTCTGCTGAACTCTTTAAGAATTCTAATTTGTGCGGCTCTTGAAAATAAATATTGATGGGCTGATTCCTCAAGGTTTCCTATAATGAGCTAATTAAAATAGATGCCCTTTGACCAAAACAGGAAATCATAAACAGATTAAATTGGGTTTATTGCTGCACAGATTAAGCTGTTTTTAAAGCCTGAATCAGCAGAGTTCACCACAGCACAGGCATAGTATAGATACTATATTCTGTACTGCATGCTGAGTGGTAACAGTAGCTGTGTAATATGAAGAAAGACCTTTCACCATACTGGTACTATTTCAATTAATATCTTTTGGTATTGACATAATTTGATTACCTCAGCTTTTAATGTTTAACTGTGATTTTTTTTTAATAAAAATTACCGAACTAGTGAAACTGTGACAATGACATCCTTTAAACATAGCAGTGCCTTGCATATGGCGCCATCGATGCACTAAGCGAATTACGGGAGTGGTCGTCATGGGTTGTATTGCTTGCACCCCTTTTTTTAAAGGAGAAACGGTGTTGGTGAAAGGACTTACAATTAACCTAGTGAAAACTATTAGCACATATGGTTAAATCGTTTTTTATTAAAAAAAAAAACTCTTTGAGGACTAAAATGTATAAATACTTGATGCCGCTAATGTTTTATAGCAGTTGCTGATTAATTTTGGAGTTGCTTCCAACAGTTGCCAGCCCCCTTTTTTTAAGGGGGAAGGAATATAATTTTTGTACTCTGTCAGAGATGTATATACCCTACTGAACCCTAACTACAGGGTAATCTGGTTTTTATTTTTTGAAGTGGAAATAAAAATTGGGTTAATAATAAATATCTAGTTTTGAAACTTTTTAGCTACTGTAAAACAAAAAAGCACCATCTCTCGATAAGCTGTAAATGTTCAAATAAGTAAAAAGTGCCATTATACTTTCTTTTTACTGTATAATGAAAATTGATAACAGTAACTTTGTGTCCAGGCATTTCTGGAATTGTGATGAAGTGCTTAAGAGTCCTCAAAGGGTTTATATGCTTCGCTGACCTTAACGTTAGCAGCTTGTGTTGTTTCTCACAGAGAATGAGTGTGGTCAGAAGTTGCTGAAGTTATAGGGATTAAAAAATGTGACGAATTTAGGAAGGGAACGCTTGCAACTTGAACTGACCTGTGAACTAGGATAATTTCTTTTGTAAAACTGTGGAGTTTGGTATTCCCATTTTTACACCTTCGTACTTAGCAAAAATGATTGCAGGAAGGGTTTACGTTGCAATTAAAAGTTCCCTATTACGTTTTATATTGAGGTTTTTCTGAATTTGCACAGATATAAGCTCTGGAATGCCTTGTTTGGTATTCTTAAAAGGGAAAATTGTCACTAGTATAGTAAATCGTAAACTGTGAGTTGTTAGAACAACATTGTTAATCTAATTTTAGATTGTTAAAGATGTACCTCAAAAGGCTAGTGAGAAATTGCTTCATTGTTACACGGTTGTCAAATACTAATGGAAGAAATCTCACTTTACAATGTGCCAAAATTCACTTTTATACTAGTTTTCAATGCTTTAATATTTGCAACTTGTTAAGTTAAAACTTGTATTTACAAACACTACTGTAACTTCAGTGAAACTGAATTGTGTGATTGAAGCTTTTTTGCTTATTATTGTATTTATTATACAACTTGATTCAGTAAATATATAAAATTACCTTTCCATTTATTTTTGTATTGTTTTACATGTTTATACCTGCAGTTTGTGTGATTTTTACAGTTGTAATTCCAATGTCATGCTAAGAAACAATAAACTATATTCATTGTCTCTCATTTGATTCTTTGACAAATTGAACAAGGTTAAGGTTATTTAAGCTACATTTACTTTTTAAATTAAGTCTGTATTTCGGGGTGGGGAACCTAAGGTCCGGGAGCTGCATGTGGTCCCTAGCTTGCCTGAATCCAGCTCCCGAGGCTCAGGGCTCTCCCCCAGCATTGGGGAGCCCAAGCTGGCGCCACCCCCACCACCACCGCCGCATCCCCGCGGGACTGGAGTGCACAATCTACTAGCCTGAGCCCCCATCCTCCTAAGCTTTGGGGTGCAAGGGGAAGGTAGGGAATGTCTTTCTGCCTCTGTCAGGGGCCACATAAGCTTCTTGCTTGTTCCCCAAATGGTTTTTCTCTGTCCGTGGCCCCCTACCCAAAAAAGGTTCCTCACTCTTCCCATATATGATTGTACAGGAGAGGTAACTAAAAAGGAAAACATCACAACAAGATCACTTGTAGCTAAAGCTCCCTATGGACATTTTAAAACGTTTACGGTGAGTGATCTCTGCCAACAAACCCATAAGAGAAAGGTGCTGTGTTAATGTCTGACCATATGGAAAGCCACTTAACTATGGGTAAAGTTCAAGCCTGTGATTTGTTATTGGTTGTGCCTACGCAAGGTTTGATTTTTAACCAGTTGACCACTTGTAAAAACAATTATGATCATTTAATCCTTGAAGAAATTAACTTAGGGTATGTCTACACTACCACCCTAGTTCGTTTCATGTTCCACGAGGAGTAACGGTAGTTCGGAATAGGAAGCCTAATCCGAACTAACTAGTTCGTGCCGCGTGTAGTCGCGGGCGACTCCGTGCCCGCGACTACACGCGGCACGAACTAGTTAGTTCGGATTAGGCTTCCTATTCCGAACTACCGTTACTCCTCGTGGAACATGAAACGAACTAGGGTGGTAGTGTAGACATACCCTTACTGACTCAAGTTAATATCAGAATATTTTAATGGTTAATCTATGGAGAGACAGCTGTCTTTGGGGGGTCAGAATTGTGAAAAAATGGCATACAAAAGGGGAGATATAAGAGATGAGAGGGTAGCTGGAGGAAAAGCATATGAATAGGGCTTTAAATATTACCCGTGGTGAGTTATTTCAGGCTGGCCTCATAGTTGGGTCCAAACTACACGGGCCGGGAGAATGGTCCCACTCGCTGCCCCATCGCTCTCTCGGAGCCGCTGATGCCTCTTCAGCTGGCACTACTTCGTCCCTGGAGCTGCAGGCATCATTGGTCCATTGGAGCAACGGGGCAGCAAGCGGGGCCATTCTCCTGGCCTGCGCCCAGGAGCTGCAGGGAGAGATGGGGACCAAGCGGCGAGCAGGAGGCTCTGACCTGCAGGAGGCTGCTGAAGCCTCTTTAGCCAGGGAGGCTGCATGCAGCATAGCAGCGCAGGGCGGCTGGCCTTGAGGGCCGCATACTCATGCTGCGCTCGGCTGACAATTGTCCCGCGGCTATGTCGGATAAAGCGGAATGTCAGATTACCGAAGGTCGGATAATCCGGACTCTACTGTAATGGACTTTTATGCACACACTGGATAAGGGCTAAATCTCATTCCTTTTACTCTTGCAAGAGGAAGGACCGCCGTTCGAGCATTAGGTTTAAGGCCCTTCTCACCATAATGTAAGCATAGGCTCGGTAGAAATTGGTTTTTGATCATTTTGATGGTTATTGCTGGTTTAGAGTTAGATTTTTTTTCCTGTTTGTAGCAATTTCAAATTTCACAGTTGTGGGAAACTGCGAGAGGGGGAAGGGACGGGTGTTACATGATTATTTTATGACTGAAGCTATTGAGATTTGGTAGCTCTTAACTTCAAATACAAATTGTCCACATCACATGTCAAAATACACAAATTAAATCTCTTTAAATCAAGCTCTAATAACTTCTCCAGCAGCATTTTTCTTTGTCTAGCTGTGCGTTTTAAATATCCATGTGAAATTTTTTCATCTGTGTAGCAAACTCAACGTTTATCGATGTCTTCTGATTAAAAATTGAATCCTTCCAAGTGTATGTAAAAGTAATTGAATTTGACATTTCCTTTCAAATTCAAGCCTTGTCTTTATTCCATATGCTCAGTATTTCTTCCAGCAAGTTCTTAATATTTTATATAAATCAGCATTTCTCAAACTGGGATCTGCCAACTCACTGATTAACTCCTCCCCCTCCCATGCAAGGGGCACTGTGAGGGAAGGTGAGGGGCAGGAATGGGGCGCACTCGGGGGAGGGAAAGGAATCCTGTGCAGGGCTGTTGGTCTGGCTCCCACTGATCAATTCTTCCCTCCCTCCACCCAGTGCCTCCTGCATGCGGAACAGCTCCTTCCTGGTGTGTTGGGAGGGAGGGGGCAGAGCGAGGATGGAGGATGCTCAGGGGAGGGGATAGAAAGAGGAGGGTCAGGGGTAGGATTTTTGGGGAGAGGGTGGAGTGGAGGCACTTCTGGGACACAGCACGGTTCATGGGGATTTGTGAAAAAAATGAATTAAGTGGGGGTGCTTGGAGAACTGCTGATACAAGTCGTTAACATGCAGTATTTTTTTCAAATTGCATTAATTTGGTATTTGTGATGCATTATGCTCTAGGAATTGCAGGGAGAAGTTCTGGTCTGTTATACAGAAGGTCTAACATGATCGTAGTGGCCCATTCTGGCTTTGGAACCTACAAGGTATCGATAGCATGAGCCAAGTCTAGTCCAAGAACTGAAACCCCACTCGGTGCTTGGTTCCTCCCTCTTGAGAGTCTCTGATCCTCCCTCCCGCTGGGCTGTATTTAAAAGTTGTATATCTTTTTCTTCTCCCCTTGTTATACATCATGCTGAACGGCTACATAAGGAAGTTGAGCCGGAATGTCTGATCACTGCTAGCCCTTTTAGGAGGAATTCTGAGCCATATGTGAAAAAGCTTTCACCAAAGAAGTATTTTTGGGATATGCCTTTTTGTAAACAATGGAAAAAACCATGAGATGTCAAACAGTATGAGATTGAAAACAGAGCTTTGTCACCTATGCTCTGGACACCTAATCTCTGTCCTGTCTATAGCTAGGGTTACAGGCCTGCTAAACTTACACACAAATTGCAGAGAGCAAGCTGTCAGTAACACACTGTAAAAATACAAGTGAAAGACACATGTCAAATCTATTAGCCCAGAAAAGCCAGCATTGTTAAATGAAAACTAGCTGCTCGATTGTGCAAAATAATAATCCCATTAGCCATTGATTGGCTGAATTACAGTATTGCTTCCTTACCAAATGGAACTCTGCTTATCATTTTCTTCACCTAAATAGATTTTTTTAAAAACTTATTAACTTCGTTCTTTAAAATGAACACTGATCCCTGCTCTATTCAAATCCGCTCACTGACAGTAATTCCAAGTCCCTGTCCCCAGGGGCGGATATAGGGCAGGGCGAACGGGGCAGCCGCCCCGGGCCCCGCGCATCACTGCGCATGCACCGTGGCAAAGGGGGGGCCCCCGCGGAATTATGCTGCCCGGAGCCCCGCAAAACGGTCATCTGCCCCTGCCTGTCCCAGATAACTGACAAAACAAGTGAATGAAATAGGAGGGGGGGGGGGAGGTGGGGGGGAGTTAGGGAAAAAAGAAAATAACAGTGAAAGGCGCATGTTTTGCATAACAGGCACTCAGCTCCCTCACCTGCTTCAAGTAGAATTTAACTTGATTTTTAAAGCAAGATGGATTGTTTTCCCCTTGAGCAGTCTTCCCTGAACTGATGTAACCATCTGTCCTCATCCCTTCATTTCAGGTCAAAGGTAAGTTTCTGGTGCCGAATGTGAAATGCCTCCTCAATACCACTCAAAATACAGCATTAAATTGGAGGTCATCAGCATTTTTCCCCAGTTCTGGAAGTCACATTTGAAAGTCCAGAAGTAATTTCTCTTTTGAAATGTCTCCTTTCAGAGCCTGCTTTTCTGTGCTGCTGGGTATGTGCACTTGCTGTACTGAAACCAGGAGGTGAAAAACATTTGCATTACATTAAAAAGAATATGAAGAATAATTAAAGGTCTAGAGAACATGACCTACAAAGGAAGACTGAAAGAATTGGGCTTTAGTTTGGAAAGGAGAAGACTGAGAGGGACATGATAGCAGTTTTCAGCTATCTAAAAGGTTGTGTCAAGGAGAAAAATTGTTCTTCGCCTCTGAGGATAGAACAAGAAGCAATGGGCTTAAACTGCAGCAAGGGAGGTTTAGGTTGGACATTAGGAAAAATGTCCTAACTGTCAGGGTGGTTAAACACTGGAATAAGTTGCCTAGGAAGCTGTTTAAGAGCAGGTTGGTTAGACATCTATCAGGGATGGTCTAGATGGTACTGGGTCCAGCCATGAGGGCAGAGGACTGCACTTGATGACCTCTCTAGGTCCCTTCGACACTACTGTTCTATGGTTACCTTTTCTTGTATAATGGACATTTTTTGTCCTTTAGTTTCTCGCAGCCAGACGGAAAGGTTGGCTAGGATCCACCCAACAGTCTGCCGTACCTTGTCGATATTAGACCTCAGTCTCCAGAAACAGAGCTGTTTTCAGAATTGCCATCAGTAAAGTCGTTCCTGATCTGACACATGCTTCAGGATGTGTTTTAAAGCTGGGAACTCCTTTGTAAGTTGAGTCAAAAGGAAGCTTTCCACCAGTGACTGTACGTTAACACTCTCTATGATTTTTATCTTGCAGTGGATTTCAGTTGCCAAGTGAAGCCATTCGTAAAGGAGGAGAAAGTAAAGGTGATTGCTTTCATTGTTTTTTAGGCCTCACAGACCCATCGCTGGATTGTCTGTTCAGACAGTGTTTTGATACTATGCTTAAATAATTCAATTACATTTTAATCCTCCAATAACAGGCTG